GCTTTTGGCGTCTTGACGGTATAATGGATTTTTATTTGGCCTTTTTGGGGGCTGAAGAAAGTTACAGGTTAGTTATTTTATTCCCCACTATTTTGTGAGGGGGTAAGGAGGGGATAGGTGCTGGTGACTAGGGGCTTGGGACCGCGTTCACCTTGATTGGGGCCCCCAACCAATGTGGGCGGGGGAAGGACAGTAGGTGGGGAGGTAGGTCCCCCTAATTGTTTATTAGGCCCCACCCAGGGGGTGGGGGTGAGACCCTTATTGTTTTATTAGGGCCACCCACGGCTCAGGGGGTGGGGGCGGAAGGACGGCCCCTTATTTTTTTATTGAGTAGCCAGGGGGGCAGTAGGTCCCCTGTTTTTTAGGCCTCCACCCACCGCCAGGGGTGGGGGCAGGGGAGGACATTAGGTCCCTATTTTTATTAGGGCCCCACCACGCTCGAGGGGGGGAGGACAGTAGTCCCCCCCCCTCATTATCTTCATGGCCCCCACCCGCCGCTCAGGGTGGGGGAGGGGGGGAGGACAATAGGTCCGCCCCCCCTTATTGTAATTTATGTCTTTTTTTTCAACAGTGAGCAGCCATAGGCTGCTCACTGTTTAGTAGACATGCCCCTACTCGCGGTATAGCGAGTAGGGGCATTTGGGAGATTTTAATCTCCCTTGTGCTATTATGGGGGTCATATTGACCCCCATAGAGTGAGAGGGGGTACTGGGGGGCTTATGAAGTGGTGGGGAGCACTGCTCCCTGCCGCTTCAATAGTTACATATTACAAGGAGGGAGCTGCATGCCGGTAGCTCCCTCCTTGTAATAAACTAAACGAACAAACATACACTGATACATTGTGTTTGTTTGTTTGTTCGGCTGATATACCTATTCACTCATTCGTCTGTCTGATGAATGAATGAATAGCTGAAATTCCCGTTCGCATGTCCAGGTGTTTCACTGGGCATGTGCGGGAATCTCAGTGTCTGCCTAGTGTGGGCAGATGACGTGTCCCTGAGGGACTTCACCTACCCACACAAAGATGGCGGCGCCCTGAATCAAGATCGGGGCAGAAAATAAGGATTTAAAAATAGGTAATGTGGGGGGCTTAGGGGCATTTGGGGGTGACTAGTGGGTCTATTGGATGTAGTGGAGGCGGGAGAGGGGTTAAAAAAAAACAACGGGATTCGGCATGACAGTGCCGCTTTAACCACAAATTTAAAGTACAAAAAAGGTGAATTGTATAAACAGCACGCAGTGCTTATAAACAAACTACTGCTTTTGCTCACAAGGTAGCAAGCTTACACGGAAAAGTAAAACAAATTGAACAGATAAAAACCCTTGTAGGAACTCGCGGCTTCCTTATACAAGCAAAATTATAATTATTTTGCCATCTGGCTCTTCTGGACTAGACCAAACCAAAATCTTCAAAGGAAGACTGGTGGGGGCAAAACAGACACTTTATAAAATTGTAGTATTTTTTTGAAATTGGCAGCTTTATAAATTGAGAAAGTTGGGACGCTCTTAACTTCTAAGAAGGAGTGTTGCTTTATATCCTTGCATATTCTTTAAAAAAAAAAAAAAAATATTCTCCAATCTTTCTTTATTTGAGGCATTTGAATAGTAGAAGATATGCGAAACGGAGTTATGACAGATGTACATGTGTCTTGAAAACTGCAAGAATTAAAAGCATAATTCAACAAACTTATGGTGAAGTCAGTCTCGTATCTTAAAAGTATGTAAAATAACAGAAATAATCAAGCTTGGCATATATGTGTAAGTGTGCGATGTAGGTATAACATTCAGACACAAGCCTTGCTACACCTCACGCCAACACCAATTTCGAAGTACAAGAAATCAATCACCAGACACCACCTCAACGCGGCCAAAGCACTGATACTGGTATTATGGAAACAACAGGGAACAATGGTTGGAACAAGTGGAGGAGATCCAAGCTGCAGAAGCCACCTTAGCTGCTCTCTTGGGAATGAGTGACAAGCATGTGGAACGCTGGCTACCATGGTTTTAATATATATATATATCAGACAGGATGGGGAACGGCGGTGGTGATGCTACTGTCAGGCCATCTGGGGCGGGGTGACTGGAGCGGGGCCTGCAGATGGATGATCTTGCTTCCCTCCTCGCCAACATCCGCTGCTAACACATTCCCCTACATCTCCCTTTCTCTCACTCATACATACTTTCACTATTCCCCTTCTCTTGATCTTGTTTCACTTCATATTACTTTATTACTAATCAACCGTTAATGGGGATACCACCATGCAAATGAACCAAAATTGAACCCAAACACCCCTGGATCACATACGGGAATGGGGTGAGACACGTGGCTACATTACAGAAAAGCACCAAACTGCAGGTCTGGGACCCTCACACTGGAATATTTGCTCTTCATGTAATATCCCCCCCCTTTAGAGGGTAGAGCAACTTTTAGCTCCACAGACTTGAAAACCGATGATCCCACTTTAAGTGGGGTGGATGTATAACAACTGATAATTCCAAAAAGACCTGATCTCAAAGGGGTAAACTCTAGAAAACATGCCATCACTTATAAATGATTAACGCGCACCCAGGGTATAGCTTATCTTAACTTGTCTTATGTTGTATTATAAAATGTCCTTTCACTCCGTTCCATTTCATGTTTATTTGCATGGTTACACAATTGAACGCAACTATACCTGAATTTTCTTGATTGTATAAACCTAAACTTTAACACATATATGTAACAGGTTGACATGCTAATACTCTCCTTGGAGCCTGCATGCTCCCTCACTTTATTTTTTCTTGGGAAAAAACCCAACAAACTTATAAAAAAGTACAATTTACAAAAAAAAGCAAAAAAAAAAAAAAAAAGAATTGGCTCTTTGAAGGGGTTACCAAAAGCGAAAAAAACTGTTTAAAAAAACAAAACAACACTTTTGTGGGTCAGACTAACCCATCCTTTACAGTGAGAGCAACCCTATAAAATAAAGAAAGAAAACCGCTAAAACTGACTTTTTGGGCTAGCTACTGATGCACCAAAGATGCTGCCTGAGGTGGACTTGTATCTCTGGCAGCAGAGGGGTTAATCATAGTACAGCACTGCACATACAGACTCCAGGCAGTTGATGTAACCCTTTAATATATGAATTAAAGGGACACTCTCTCTAAACACCAGACCCAATACAACTTAATGTAGTGGGTTTGAGGCAAAGTGACTGTGCCAATAGTCTGAAAAAAGGCAATGTTTACATTTCTGTCTAATTGTTGAAAAATTCAGAAAAAAGGTTGCTTTGGATATATTAAAAAAAAATAAAATAATGTTTAGTATGCAAAAAAAGCTACAGATGGGAAAAAAAATCTGACAGGTTGAATTACCTTAAACAGAAGTCTTTCCCGTTAGTGTTATTTTTTATATATCTGCGTATGGTTGAATTACGGTTAGTTTTTTTCTTTTTCATGTTAATTTATCAGGTGAATAAAAACAGTAGTGCAGAGCTTGACAGATTTGTTTTGAATCTTGGAGCCAGCTAAAAAAGTTAGGAGCCAGGTTTTTTTAAACTTACAAACCTTTTATTTGCAACAACAAAAATACTATTCTTAAAAAGACTCTATTGTCACAGGACTATTACAGCCTAATGTAATAGTTTTGGTGCATAGTGCCTGTCCCTGCAGGCTTTTCAATGTAAACACTGACTTTTCAGAGAAAAGTCAGTATTTATATTGCTGTCTAGTGATACCTGTAGTGGCGGTCACTCAGCCACTAAAGTGCTCCACAGTGTGCAGCGCTTGCACGCTCTGCATTGGAGGTGTGGAATGTTTCCCATAGCGATGCATTGATTCAATACATATCTATGATGAGATGGGCATTGGTGCAGTGTGTGTGTGGGGAAAACATTGGATTAGCAGAGCTCATCAATCGTTATTATCTCAGCCATACTGGCGGTCCAGCTGCGAGGAGACCAGCACGGTGTGAAAAAAAAAAGTGAGTATAAACACCATATAATTTGGAGGGGGGCTGGTCATATAAAAGCACACACTAACAGACAGATACACATACACTGACAGACATATACACAGATACACAGACACACACATTATTATTTGTCTTAAAGCAATTCTATTCCACCCAGCCTCCTTACCTTTGGGATAGCTGTAGTGGATCGGTTTACCCTGGGGTCCAGTGGGATGTCGGCTGGGGGACAGGCTGCCCGTATTGTGGGCTTCAAGGAAGCTGTGATCTTTCTGCTCTGCTCCCTCAGGCGCCGCTTAGTGATGCCAGGGCCGAGGTAACGTCATATTCCGGCTCTTGCATTACTAAGTGGCGCATTGGGTAGCAGAGCAGCCTGCAGAACAGGTAGCCGACCGTCTGCCTTGGATGGAATATGCTCACAAATCTCAAGCGCCAGGACTGATTTCCTAGTCGCAATGGCAACCTGGCATCTGGAATTTGTCAAGCCATGCAGTAGTGGGTGAATGAACACTGGATTGTGCTCACAAAGTTCACTGTTTTTGCACTGTCAAATTTGTACTTTGAGCCTAATTACACTATAGTACAATTTAAAAAGTAGGCTCTCACATTCTTACATGCATAGTGAATGTACATTTTATTGTGGCTTCCTGGGCTTATTAAGAGGATCACTATAGGGTCAGCAACACAAACATGTATTCCTGACCCTATACTGTTAACACCACCATCTAGCCCCCCTGGGCCCCTCATACCTCCATAAATATAGAAATCTTACTGTATTCAAGCCTGAAGCTGTAACTCTGCATGCTGTTTGACTCAGAAAAAACAAGCTGTCTGCTGACATCATCAGAAGTGGTAGCCTGATCCAATCACAGTGCTTCCCCATAGGATTGGCTGAGACTGACAAAGAGGCAGATCAGGGGCAGAGCCAGCACAATTCAAACAAAGCCCTGTCCAATCAGCATCTCCTAATAGAGATACATTGAATCCATAGGCGTGCGCAGCCTATTGCATTAGGGTGTGCACCCTAAAGCACAAACACGCTGCGTGTATATGTGTGTATGTGTGTGTGTGTGTGTGTGTGTGTGTATATATATATATATATATATATATATATATACACACACACACACACACATACACTGCTGTGTGCTGTGTGAGAGTGCTGTTAGTGTGATGTGTGTCTTTGTGAGGGTGCTGTTTGTGTGATGTGTGTGAGGGTACTGGTAGTGTGCTGTGTGTGCTTGTTAGGGTTCTGTTAGTGTGCTGTGTGAGGGTGCTGTTTGTGGGTGTCGTGTGTTTGTGAGGGTTCTGTTTGTGTGTGAGTGTGCTGTCTGTTTTTGAGGGTGCTGTTAGTGTACTGTGTGTGTGAGGATGCTGTGTGTGTGTGTGTGCTGTATGTTTGGGTGATTTGTAGTTGTGGAGGTGGGGGCAGATTAGTTAATAAATATCCCCCCTCCCTTCTTACCTTTTGTAGGGAGGGGGGATCCTTTTGCTGCTGCCTTCCCTTGTGGTCCAGTGGAGGTGGGGGCAGATCGGTTAATATCCTACATAAGGTAACAAGGGAGGGGGGACCATGCTGCTGCCTTCCTTGGTGGTCCAGTGGAGAATGAACTCTAGCCTGCGGGGCTAGAGTTCACTCTTGCAAGATCTGAACATTGCTGCGGCAACGCTCAGATCTCGCAAGAGGAACCCAGCGGAGCTGCTGGCAATAGCTCCCCGAGTCCTCTCCTGTCTCCCTCCCTGCATGTGGGGTCTGCATGAGCGGACAGGGGAGATCCTGCCGGTCTCACTCCATTGGCGTGCCGTGGGATACCCTGTGCGCACGCCTATGATTGAATCAAGGAATCTCTATGAGGAAAGTTCAGTGTCTGCATGCAGAGTGAGGAGACAGTGAATGTTTGGATGCATTTTAGGCAGCCATGACCCAGGAAGGATCTCTAACAGCCATCTGAGGAGTGGCCAGTGAAGTTATCACTAGGCTGTAATGTAAACACTGCATTTTCTCTGAAAATACAGTGTTTACAGCAAAAAGCCTGAAGGGAGCTATTCTACTCACCAGAACAAATTCAATAAACTGTAGTTGTTCTGGTGACTATAGTGTCCCTTTAAATAGCATAACGTTCTAGCAGTTACTCTAACAGCCCCTGTATTAATATGGCCCTGTAGAAGAGACAAAATTCTTGGCGCCTGGTCCTGTTTCTGGGTCACCATGGAAACCTGGCTCTTTAGTTCTAAGCCTTACATTTCCTATAATTTTGTTACTCCGAGAAGACAATATGCAGATTAAATATGCTCCTACTTGAAGGTGATCTTGTCGTCCACATTAGCAGACAAATCACAAGACAGATGTTTGCATTGGCTGTGTGTATATCTGTATAATGTTACTTCTTCATGTATAGTTTATAGCATTTCTTCACGTTGTTGCGCCGTTGTCTTATTCATTCATAAATCTTGCTAATGTATTGACAACCCAAAATTTCATTTCATATTTAAGATGTGGTCTTGCCTTTGAGTTATTGTGGCAAATTCTTCTTGTGAGCCAATACAGCATTGGGGTACTGTCTGTAATCCAATGCTGGCTTGTCTTGCTTGAGGTCTTACTAATTACATCACTAATGACATCCATGATGCGGTTTCCCAAGACCTCTCCAACCTACAGTCAGAATATACTAAGGCTAGTGTGATTGCGATTGCACATTGTGTAATGCTGTAAAACTTGCAGTGTGCAAGTCATGCATTTTGTTAGCATTTGGGCAGCTCGATAACCCAGAGTGATGAGTTTTATCGAACACACTCCAGGCTGTGGTGAAACGTGACTTCGCCCATTCAAGCTTTCTGAATCGCAGTTGTATTAGAAACAGATTTGGGAGTGTGTGAGATTGATGAATGTGGCTGCAGACTGGCCTCTGGTCACATTCTGCCAGCTCTAATTCACAGGGCTGTGTGTCTGCTGGAACGGTTCTGTAAGCATCTTCATTCTATCATCGCTTTTCCTTTTTTCTTTATTTCTTTTTGTCTATACCCCCCACCTTTCCCCCCATTTCCTTTTCTTAGTTTTTAACATAAATTTAAATTATAATTTTTTCCAACCTCTGACATTTATGGGGTCTCTGTACTCAATGCTGGGAGCCATGACCAAGAACTACAATGTGAAAAATAAAAAAACTAATGTCCAACTGCTTTTCGTGTTTGAGATACTGTTATACATCAAGTACGGGATTAATACTGGTGGCGATGCTGTTTTCTGTGAAACCTAGGATTGATAGTAAGATTCTGGACATGATGTGCAGTACGGGGGTACTCTATACTGCTAAACTAATAAAACTACAAACTGTGGAATATGTGATTTGTGCGAAAAACATTGAATTTATATTAAACCCTTTTCTTCCTCAAGACCAGTATAACCTGCAAACTGGTATTTAGAGCTAAAAAGTTTGCTTGTCTGTTTTCAGCTCCTCCAGAATCATTGTTTAGTAAATAAAACATTTCGTGTCATATGGTCCCATTTTAAAAGGCACCAGTTATCAGATATATAAAACTGAAAATTGTTAGTCTGTGTCAGGTGCAAGGGTGACCTGCACTGAGGATCCCTGCGCACCTTTCTACATCCTCTGTAGAATGGCTGAGAACGACAAATCATAAAGAATGCTGGCAGTAGCGCACACATGGTTGGAATTTCTCTTTGGTTAGCTTGACATTAAGAACTGTATATGTGGTATTTATTTTATTCTCAGCATAGTTGCTGAACTAAAAATGGCCAAAAGAGAAACCAGGTTTTGTAGAACAACTCTGATGAATGTTAAGACTGACAAAGCATCATGGGAAGTGTAGATCTACAAATGGATCGACTTTTTTTGACTATCCTCGTTCTGCTTCTTGACACAAGTTATGCAGCATGTGTGCACACACCATGTGAGTTTAACCCTCTCAATTTGTACCTGAGCTAAAATGAAATGAACATTAGTCGAGTATAATGACTTTCCATCGAGGTAACCTCAATTGCGGCATTGAAAGGGTTTCTGGATCAGCTTTTATCAGACTGTAAACATGTCATCTTTTTTTTTTAAATTTGTTTGTTTTTATGAACAAGTTGCACAGTGTCACCTTAGGGCAACACACAAGGGATAGCTCTCATACCCACATTACCGCTGTCTCTGCTAAACTATAATTATCTGTCACTGTAGCTTTAAAATGACCCTTTTATTCCTCTGATACAATTAGTCCAACAATTACACTTCTCATCTAGACACCTCTTTGCGTCTCTCTGCCCTCTCCACAGTCAAAGGGGTGGGAAACTTTCCGGCAGCCAGGCACAAGGGCACATGTTTAAATTCAATCAAATGGAAATACTGCTCAGCGGATGCCCAGAGCAATAGGACAACCTGCTAAAATGACTATTTAATGGATGTTCCATTCATAAACGATCGCTCGTTAAATACTTTTTCCCCTTGTTGCTTTGGTGAGGGTCAGAGGGAAGATCAAACAGAGGAACAGGCACAAAATATTTCTTAATTGGCTGGAAAGCAGTGCACAATTTACAGTCAGGAATCCTCCCATATGTCAGTCCTTCTGGCAATAGGTTTCACTCCTCCTATATGCAACCAGTGATACATTTAAATTTCTGCGGATGCTATTTGTCGTAAGATGTTCTGTAGTTATGTGGTACTCTGGTGCCAGCTTCATTTAACCTAATGTGTGCAATTTCTTTCATCTGTCTCTTGCTATAATGCTGTTAATTAGCCCAGCTCTGCATTCCGAATGGCACTTCTGTAATATATGAATATGCCCCTTGTCATAAATCTCACAATATCCTTTGTGTTTCCACTCCAGATGTTAACACACACCCATGGCAAATTCATCCAGTGATTCGGACTCTCACCTGTGCACCCGAGCAAGCAGACGCGGACCACTGAGGGCCACCCACGTCCACACTCGGTCACGAGGAGCTGGAGATGTGTCTGAGAAGATTCACACTTTGGCAAACACACTACAGGTAGCCATGATGTCCCTTGGTGACCCATGATGTCCCTTGGAAGTGTGCTTGATTTATTTTATTTTTTTAATGTGCCATGCGCATAAAGCACAAGCGGTATTGGCAACTTTGGGAAATAAAATTGGATCATTAGAAATACACTGGTAGAGATATTACAATTTTAAAGTCTCTGGAATGATTTGCATTCTAGGAATCATTCCTCAAATACCCAGACCGTGTCTTTGTTGAAGACCTTATATCTCTGCTCTTTGAGTTTTCTACTCAGGCAGTCTAACATCATAGTCTTTGTTTTCCTTTAGTTTTAGGAGTTGAGTGTTTGTAATGTCCTTTTGAGATGCCGATAATGCAGTATAATTCTTAATCATTTAGGTGTTAGAGCCGAGTCTGTCGCTCCACATTCTGTCAATGTTTCTTATGCATATTGCATTACGCCATTTAGAACGGTCATTGGATTTTCTAATTTATTGTTATTGGTTCTTCTAGTCCATCTATTGTTATTGACAGTTTACGTTTCTGTTTTCTTAAACACTGGTACCAAGCATCCCACACCTGAAAGGTAAACATCGAGAAGGCAACTGGAAAGAGGGATTTATTGTGTACATTTTGAAACTATAATGTTTCGAATTTTCAATCAGAAACTGAAGTTTAAATATCTTATTAAAACATACACAACTTATAACAAATTAAAAAATAGATCATCCTTGAACACAGCATATACAGTTTGCTCTGTTCTGTTTGCTTTTTTAAAACAACAGATTGTTTTTACTTTTTAATTTAACACTCTTGCTCTTGTATTTAAAAAAATAAATGTCAGTGTATTAATTATTTATATCGTAGCAACATATTCTCGAGTACTCCTTCCTAACATTGAGCTTGTCTATATCTTACATTTAATGAAAACCTTATTTTTGGCCTAATGCCATATATAGAAACCTATACCAGTATTAAATTTGTAATCACACACTGTAAGTGGTTCATGTTTAAACGTAGCAGACATTCTGTGCTGTGTCTGGCTGTTGTATGGGATGCCTGACGGTTGCTGTCAATGTGTGGAACACAAAGATTATTAAATTTTTTGCCTACACCAGGTGCTGTGCACACTACTTCTAGAACCTATACATGATCATTATATCAAGCAGACAAATTCATGAGAGT